TTTTTTTTTCTACAAATCTGCTGGGGAGATATTTATTCCTATTTAATAAAAAGTCCTGGATCTTTCACTCATGAAAAATTAAAAGCTTGCAAACTTCTGGATGTCTACGATTATTTTGTTTCAAGGAAAGTTGGACTGTTCACTTCTGACACCAGGAAGCCGTGGTCGTGCTAACAACAGCAGTCAGCTCTGACGAGCAGAGCCACAGTGTTGTTTACATCACCTGTGGGTGACGGTCGAAGAAAACAGATAGATCCTCCGCAACTACAAATCTGGATATGTTTTCATTAATCAGAGGCCTCATTTATTTCTTTATTATTGTAATGATCGCGGGTTGAGACACCTGAATCAGAACGCAACAACAACATGACTCCGTAGATTTACAATTACACGAAGATGAAAGAGTTTACAAACAGCTTCTTTATTTCCCAAATACATAGTCACAAGGACTTACCATGAACAAAATGAGCTTCACAAACTGTCAGTTGCTGCAGGAATCCAGACTTAATCCAGTCTGGGTCAATTACCATCATTTCTTTTGTATTTAGTGGGTGTTTACGGAGGAAATCCCAATAAAACTTTTTATCAAGCGTCCGAAGGGCCAAACAATCAACCACATAGCAAGAATGACCCATCTGCTTTGCTAAACTCTCCTCCACCAGGCTTGAATATTTTGAAATGGGTCAAATCAATCAATAAAAACTGTAAGAATTGTATAAATTTTGGATAACATTGTACAGGGGAAGAGGAGTACAGTGGGCATAATGGTGAAAAGCAGACAACTAAAGGCAATGCTCCAAGGGGAAAAAAGGAAGTAATAATCAGGGTCAATTACCTACCGTAAAAAAGATCCAGTCTGACGTTGCGTTTTGCAGATGAAAGCAGGAAATCCGCAATCAAAATATCAACAGAAGTGATCCACAAACATAAAAACAGGACTGAGAAAATTTTTCCAAAAGGTAATAAACTCCCAAACATTAATGCAATAAAATTTGGGGCAGCAGAAGCTCAACAGGTTGAGCAGGTTGCCCAGTAATCGGAAGGTTGCAGGTTCAGTCCTGGCTCTGGACAGAGACTTCTGCTGTTGTGTCTTTGGGCAAGACACTCAACCCACCTTGCCTGCTGGTGGTGGTCGGAGGGACCAGTGGCACCTGTGCTCGGCAGCCTGGCCTCTGTCAGTGTGCCCCAGGGCAGCTGTGTGTGAATGGATGAATGATGCACTGTGGTGTAAAGCGCTTTGGAATCCTTACTCTGAGAGGTGCTATACAGGTCATTTATCATTTAAAACACAGTCCAAAGATAACCCATGTGGTAAATCCAAAAGGCAACAGAGTGAGTGCTAACACAAGTGGATATCCAAAAACGATGACTGCTTGAATGTGCATTTTGCTGTTTAGTGTGGTTTGCTGTGTCTCATCAGTGTCCAGTGTCATATATATACCGTAAATCCTCTAATATTAGCCTGTATTTAATTAACTGCCGGGTATCATATTTTGGCTGGTGTCGGAGTTGGCAGGGGTGAATAATGGCCGTTTTTTTATTGTGGCCGGGTGGAATGTGGTAACAAGCAAGTACGGGGGGCGGTTGTGTCATCCGTCTCACTTTTGATTTGCCAGTGATAGACCGCAAGGGTAACTTTAACCGTGAGGAGGCGAAAATTTGATATCAAGTTCAAAGAGAACGTGCTGATTATGCTGCAGAACACTCTGGGGAGCAGTAGGGTTTGTATGAACTAGTCACTAGTCGACTTCACCGCTCTATAGTGACTTTTTATGCCTGTCATCGACTAGTCGCTGTCACGTGATAATGACCGACAAGATGCAGCCCTCGGAAAAGACAGCAGCCTGCTGTCAGCAGGTGACAGGCTCCTGCGCGTCTGGAGGCAACGCGCTGTGCCAGAGCGTCGGTACTGACACCCGCCATAAAACGGACATTTAACCAAATTGTGACGTTTACCCTCTTGTAATTTAACCTTCCCCTCACCCCATCCTAACCTTTACCAGCTTGCAGATGCAAAGCTCTGATTGTTGATGCGCTCCAGACATCTGCGTCCTGAGCACGGCCACAGTAACATTATAAAATCAGGTGATGCCACCTCAAAAACTAATTTAAAAAGCGATTGTTCATGTCGGCTCATTTCCTTTTATGTTTTCTGTCTTTTATTCTTTTATTTGTGCCTGATGCGTTTTGCTGCTGTGGATCGGGGCGCATCACCTGTTTTGTCCTCGGTGACGCACCTAACTGATGTGGCCGGTGAGCACGCCGCTGTTTTTGCGGTCGGTAGATCTCTTAGAACTGCAGTTCAAAGGTAACTCATGAGGTGAATATATATGAACCCAGGAAGCAGTTTTTCTTTAGGATTGAGACGAGATGCAGGAAGATAATAAACAGGCAGGACAGAAAAATAGTCAAATAAAAACAAGTTAGTTTTTGTACCTGCTGTTGCAACAAACAGACACCATTGAAGGTAATAAGAAGTGAGGAACAGAAAATGAAATAATTATTTTAATGTTTAGAGCAGCAGGAACTCTGAGAGGCTGCAGGCGCATCAGTGAGTTTGCGGCCGCTGCGCAGGGGGAGGGGGGGAGGGCTGAAGCAGAAACTACCGTTGTTAAAAGAAATGTGTTTAACTTTGAAAATGTGGGCGCATTTTTAATTGTCAAAAACTCCAGCAAACCATTAGTTCATTTTGCTCAAATAGAAATTGAGGCCTGCCTCTAATTCTGGTCCTCCTTCCAATAGACCCTTTTACTACCTACGTCATCAAAAGTTGCGTGTGCAGCCTGGTAACGAGAGCGATGGCTTTCTCATTCACACTCGATACTAAAACAGCATTTTAAACCCTTTGTTTTTAAGTTCTGAGCACATAAAAATGTCGGGTTGTTGCGTGTATGGATGCCAGAATCGCTTCCCTTCAAGCAGTGGACTGAAACTTTACAGAATTCTGAAGGGTCTTTCCATGCACATGCCTGAGATGTAACTGCAGCCTTTTTCTGTTTTTCCCATCCTAACACAAAGCTCAACTTTGAATAAAATTGCTGCTGCGTGGCTGCAGCATGAACCAAGTCTGGAACATCAAAATGACAGAATTAAACAAATGTATACACTTAATTTCATGCTTCAAATTAACATTTCATTCTAATTCATCTGTATTTTCCCACTGCATATTAGTATAAACTGTATTTCTCTAAAATGAACACGATTGTACTCTGAGCACGCTAAAAAAAGAAACCTATGCTATACTCACCCTGCCATGCAGGTACAGTTGGCTGTGAAGACGTAGTTCTCTGGTTTGTTTACTATGACCCAAGCCTTGTACATAGCAGTCTTGTGTCCTTGTCTTTGGCTAGGAAGGACTTCTGCCTTCAAGACGCAAAACTCAGAGTCTATGTCGTGATATTTTACTTTCTGTACGTGGCCACAGACAACATAGTTGTATGCATCTAACGATTTGTATGCCCGTAGCTTCTCACGTGTGTACTTACTGGGCCTCTCCACTAAAAACGTATATATATCGGGCCACTGGATATCTGGCCACGCACCTACATCTTCCACCCATTCCATAATGCCACAGGGATCCGGGAGTCTGTTGCCATTCGTTAAAGTGAGTTTAATAATATAACATTCAAGATTTGCCGTGATAACCCCGCAGCGTAGCTTGATAAAGCCTGAAACAACGCCATTCTCTGTTGCCAAGCTGCGCGCGCATTCTCGCTGACGTCATATTGTTTACAAACAGTAAAAGGGTCTATAAAGGCCTGGAGCTTGATGAGCTTGAGTCTAATACAGGCGGCCCGGGCCTGTATTAGAGGATTTACGGTATATATATATATATATATATATATATATATATATATATATACCCACTTCAACAGCTGACAATAGGTATTCCTCATGAGAAACCTGCTCTAGTTGTGTCAGGTTTGAAGGGTGCCTTTTCCAGACAGCATGTTTCAGCTCCTTCAATAGGATAGAGGTCAGGGCTCATTGATAGTCACTCTAGAATTGTCCATTGTTTCCTCTTAGCCATCTTGAGTGTTTTTAGCTGTGTGTTTTGGGTCATTGACCTGACCTGTGACTGAGACCAAGCTTTCTGACGCTGGCCAGCACATTTCTCTCTAGAATCCCTTGATAGCCTTGAGATTTCATCGTACCCTGCACAGATGCAGACACCCTGTGCCAGATGCGGCAAAGCAGCCCCAGAAAATAACAAAGCCTCCTCCATGTTTCACAGTAGGGATAGTGTTATCTTCTTGATATGCTTCATTTTTCCGTCTGTGAACATGAGCTGACGTTCCTTGTCGAAAAGTTCCACTTTTGTCTCATCTGTCCAAAGGACATTTTCCCAGAAGTTTTGTAGCTTGTCAGCATGTACTTTGGCACGTTCCAGTCAGGCTTTTTTATTATTTGTTTTCAGCAATGGTGTCCTCCTTTGTCGTTTCCCATTTAGCACAATCTGGCTCAAACAACGATGGATAGTTCGATCTGACCCTGATGTTCCTTTAGCTTAAAGTTCACCATGGATCTCCTTAGAAGTTTTTTCTGGGCTCTTTTGTTACCATTCAGATTATCCTCCTCTTCGATTTGTTATCAATTTTCCTCCCGCAGCCACGTCCAGGGAGGTTGACTACAGTCCCATTGATCTGATATTTCTGATTAATATGAGCAACTGTAGTCACTGGAAGATCTAGCTGCTTGGAGATGGTCTCATAGATTTTACCTTTAAAATGCATGTCTATAATTATCTTTCTAATATCCTGAGGCAACTTTTATCTTTGCTTTCTCGAGTCTGTGTTACGTACAGTACACACCATGTCACCAAACAACACAGTGACTACCTGGAGCGCTACATGAAGGCCCGCTGACTGATTACAAGATTGCAGACACCTGGGATGCTAATTAGCGGACTCACCTTGAATGAACACGTCCCTTTGGTCGCATTTTTTTCAGCCTTTTCTAGGAGCACCATCATTTTTGTCCAGGCCTGTCTGTATAGTGAACAACACTTGTGGCCAGTGGGTGGCGGTAGTGAGCAGAAACGCTGTCTGAGCGGCAGTGAGCACCGCCATTGGGTACAGTAGAAAGAGGGATGTGTTTGTGTTTTAGCCACATGAGTTCAGCATGGTGGGGAAAATAAAACACGTTCGACAGAAACTTCATCAGGAGGCGGTGAAGCTAAACAGACCTGTAAGCTTCCCAGAGCCCGCGGTGTTACAGCAGCCTCCTGCTGTGGAGCCTCAGACGGAGAGCCGTCCAGCTGGAGGAGCCACGCTACACCACGTAGCCGAACATGCTAACCAACAGGTCGGTTTCCTTAAACATTCGAACTTCACTCCATCGAGTCCGCTTAATCACTTTGTTTCTTAAGTTCTCTACTTCAAGTGCCATGCAAGACACTAAAACTAGACTTCCATTCAATAATAGCGAGTTCGTGATGCATTCAGTTCAATTCGTAATCTCAGCCACCAATCACAAAGTAGCATTTACTCTGGGTATAAACACAGACGATGACACTGTTTCCATCAGTCGTGATGTTTTGGATAATGTTCTTGGTAATCCAAACCTCAGCTAGCTTCAGAGGCTACTGGTTAAGGTCATGTTTGTAAACGAGAACATGTTCTCAAACATTTTACCTGGGATTTTCTTTTTACCATAAACACAGCGTCTGTTAAGTAACATCTGTCCTTGTTGCTTTTGCGGCTATTAGTTTATTAAATTGATAATATTCTAGGTAAATGCTTGGTATTTATCAACTGTTGTCTAGTTGACCGTATATAATCCCACAATAGTGGTTAAATATTCTAGAGAAAACAACACCAGTGGTTTCTCAGATTAAACCAGTTTAACACAGTAAAACCTCTAGAGAATGTTCACAAATGTCTGAGAAACTATAGCGTTTAACACTCATGGCAGTCAACATTGACCTGATAAAATAATGTTTTTCTCTTACGTAATCATCATTTTGGCAGTGTTGATGTAAATTAAGCGTTCAGGTGTTGGAGAAAATTCTGGAAAGTAGACAAAGGCAGTTAAAAACCCGAACCAGTCAGTTCATAGTTTTAATTGTGTGTATTTTATCTAGTGGTTTGACTGCTTTTTACTCGGAGAAAACTACAAATGAAAGACAATGTTTCACCACAAACCAGCTGATTCATCAGATTATCTGGGGTGAAAACTTCCAGAAACAAATACAAGAAGTACGGATGTTCACAATCACATTTTTTTGACCCCAGTCTGAGTCTGAATCGTTTGATTTAGCTTATTCCAAGTCCCGATCCAATACTGCAGTGTGTCCTTTACTATTATTATTCAATATTGTTTTTCTTTTTTTTTTTGAATTAATGTAATTTCCTTAGATTATCTGCCAACAAATGTCACACATTCAGAAAGTACTGAAACGCGTTAATATTAGGATTATATTTAAAAGTTGCCTCGTTGCTCTTATTTAAAATTGTTTCAATAGGATGTGTTTTTGTGGAGTGATGCATGTACCCACGTCAGTATGCATACTGGCTGGCAGTCTCACCTTTTCAAGATGATGGAGAATTCGCACCTACCGTTTGGAACACAAAGTGGCAACTATTCAGTCGAAAGGACAACTGAGAAACACATGAATGTACCTGCTATCAGTAACACAATCTAACAGACTTCAGAGTGGCAGAGTGGCACTACGCTGCACAAAGGGCCTCTGCAGGTAACCGGCTCATTTTATCTACTATGAAACGCATTAATCGGGATATGCCAATCATGTTTTTTTTTCACAGAAATTTGCCGAAAATGATCTGTGGCTAATTGATCAAAACATATCTATTTCCCACGTAAAGCATCTTTTGCCCTTTTTATTAAAATATTGCATATTTAGTAGTGAGCAGGTTAAGGTTGGGGAAAAAGAAGCATATAAGGTACTAGGGTTGTCACGGTAACCGGTGTAGCGGTAAACCCCGGTAAAAAAAAAGTTGACAATAATAATAACCGTCTTGTTTTTTTAAACATATGTTATCTCGGTGGATTACCGTGGCTGCGGTGTAGGCGCGGTGACCCTTACCAGTAGGGATGGGTACTGAATTCGGTACTTTTTAAGGTACCGACCAAATTCCACAGTACCGACCGAGCACCGATTCACTTCATTTGAAACAGTGCCTCGTTTCGGTACCCGTCCTTCACAACGAGAACTTGCCTGGACAGCTACGCATGCTCAAGAGCATTATGTCGTCGGTCGCTGCGAGCGAGTTGTAAACAGAGCAGCATGGTAGAAAGAACGAACGCTAAAGCTTGGGTCCACTTCACTAAATGTGATGGGTAACTGGGTGATGATGAAACCAGCGACACCGATCTAAGTGAGACATCCTCATCTTAATCTGCTCCGGTAGGTAAATAAAATGTTTAAGATAACGTTAGCGTGATTTGTTAGCTTCCGTTTCGCTAATGGTGTGTTCGCTTTCTCCTCGGAACTCCGAAATTCCGACTAGAAGAACATGAACGCGCTCTAAAGTTTGGCTTCACTTTACTAAATGCGACGGGTGATTGGGTGAAGATGAAACCAGTGACAGCGATTTAAGTGTGAGGCATCATCGTTTAAATCTGCTCCAGCAGTTAAACCGTTTAAGATAACGTTAGCTTGATATGTTAGCTTCCTATGCCACCATTGTTATCATCTGATGGTGCGTTCGCTTTCTCTTAGGAAATTCTAACTTCCCAGTAGGAAAAATCAATTGAAAAAGGACGGTAAAAGGAACGAAGATACACAGTAAATTTAGTTCACAGTAAAGATGTTTGCTTCAGTTTAATTATCTGCTTATAAAACTACAAGGACGATGTTAAAATACAAACTGTTGTATGTTATTTATCGTGATATTTATCAAATATGGTTATATATTGAGAAAAAAAATATTTTATTATAAAAGATAATTAAAATTATAAACACTCAAAAGTATCGAAAATTGGTACCGTTAAGTACCGGTATCGATTCGTAGGTACTGGGAATTAGTACCGGATCGATTCAAATGTCAAAGGTACCCATCCCTACTTACCAGCCACTGTGTCATCTGCTGAAGTTGCCGGCGGCACATGCGCACTTTGTTGTTTACAACCAAAGCTAACGTTAGCGTTTTAGCTAAAATACGTGGGTTGAGGGAGAATGCAACGAGTCGCTATATAAAGCAGCCGCAGTGCCGCTACCTGCATATAAACCGTGTCGCAGACACCCCCATATTGAAGTGACGCTATGCATTACGGAACTCCCAGGGGCAGATAAGAGTTAGTCTCTCTCCGAGAATAATTATGAATTTAACAATGATTACTGCCTGATGACATTTTCCCAAATCTGCAAAGCTCACTGGAAGGACACAAACCGAGGACAACATTTTCCTGATATGGGTTTATTACTCAAGTAAGGGTAAAAAAGTATCTGATTAGAAGGCTACTTGAGTACTGAGTATCATCTGATTTAATGTATTTAAAATGATAACATCAAACCAACAAAAAATAAGAAGTTATGGGCAAATATTGGTATTTTAAAGACTAAAGGGGAAAAATGTAAACAAATAAACAACATAATTACAAAGTAACAAATTTTTGCTAAATTTAGACACAAACTGAGGACAATATTTTCCTGATATACAGGGTTTATTTAGTTTTCTGAAAATGTAACACGTTTAAAATAAATACCGCGATAATACCGAAAACCGTGATAATTTTGGTCACAATAACCGTGAGGTTAAATTTTCACACCGTGACAACCCTATAAGGTACCCATGAGTATGTTTGACCGATGGTTTAGAACCTCTGCAACAATTTTTATTTAAAGGGGCCATCATAGAAAATCCATGTTTGGGAGCTTTTTACTATGTGATATTGTTGTTTCCTCTCGGGAAAGTCCCCCCAAACCCATTTTTGGCTGAATTCATGCATTTTCCTGTTTCAGCTGCAAAGTTAGAGTTTTACTTTGAAAATCTTGTAACTCCTCAATGGAAACATTTCTTGTCATCAGACCCTGATCCTCTTCCGGAAGCTAGTGTCTGGTCTAAAAGCTGTCTCCTCTGGCCACCACAGGACATGTGGCTTAGGCAACTGCTGTGGTAACGGACTTGGTAGGCTAGAGGTTAGAATGCAGGGCTGGCATGTAGTTTTTCACAGGTTCACATCCTGGTCTGAGCAGTAACTCTATTTCTTCTTCTTTAGCTACACTTGCCAGTATGATGTTTTCAATCCTTTATTCATAAACTGTAAAATATAACTAATGTGTTTGTTTTTTTTACTTAGCCAGTGTGACTCCATGTGAGGTGAGAAGAATAAATCAACTAAAATGCTGCTCGGAAATGACTGAATTTAAAGATCTTTAGAGACACAAAATATTTAGTAGAAAATTATCAATAAAACTAAAATATATAAAACATGAAATCTTCTACAGCTGGCTAAACAAATTACTGCAGACACCACCGGGAGTTGAACCCATGTCGCCACATGGCAAACTGAGATCCTGACTCGTCTAAGACGCCGTTGTAGGCATGTTTTGTCAGAGCGGGCATGGGCAGGGATTCACTGAAACGAAGCGTTTCATAAATTCAGACTGACTAAAGCACTCAAAACTGCCGTTGCTCCAGCTGAATCACCTCAGCTAATGGTTTTGTTTTCATTGACAGTCATTCAGAGGTGTGCTAGCAAGATACGTTGAACATGTCTAGATAAACGGCAGCTTGTGTTGATGGTGTAATGTTCAACATGTGCATGGTGGTAAGGTGGTCTATTTTGTTGAACTCTAATGTTTCAGATTGAGGTTTGGAGCTCCCTCTCCTCTGGGATCTTTGCTGGCACTAAGATTTCTCCAGAAGTCCTGGTGCAAACACTGGATGTAGAAGAGCCTCCACGTTTAGTCTCTACAAAAGGTATGATGCTGTGATGTTAACTTGTTCCTGGGTGGCTAGTTCAGTTATCTAAGACTATTTTATATGCACTTCATTTTTCTAATGTTTCTGTAGAACACACGTGGACCTCCGATGCAGCACCTGAGTGTGTTACTCTTTAGTCATCTGTTACAAAGATGGTCATATCTGAAGATCACTGTGTTATGTTTAGAGCCTCTGGATGCTCAGGTGACCTTAGAGATCATTTGTGCAGCTTGACGATGTAAATGTTAATGTACCCGCGACTGAAGGAGTACAAAGATATGCAGCAGACTTTTTACTCTTGTCGGTAAATTACCAGAAATGTGGGTTTGGAGGTGGTGACTACATAAAAAGGTGGAGGAGAACAAGGGACAAATTTGTCTCTGAAATATTTGAATACAATAGTAAACACACTAGAGAAGTGCCTGCATTGATGGCATGATACCCCAGAAAAGCACTACGCCCCCTGCTGTCCTGGTGGAGAATTGTTTCACTGACACACCAACAGAGAGTCAGTATGTGTGTGAGTGCAGACTTGCTGATGGAGACGTATAAACTAGGCTTCACCCCGAGACACCTGTGCAGCAGACCATCACTGTCTGATCCAACAACATCCTCCTCAAGCCTCGTTACAGTGAAATAAAAATGGTGCTGAAGAGATGTGGATCTGGCCCGCTCCTGCAGCCAGCTGTGTTGTTCCTGCCTTGCTCAGCGGCCATTTTAACACCTAATAGGTTTTTTCAGAAGTCGTACCAAGTGCACATTAAGTAGTTTAGTTAAAAGGGGTTTGAATCTGATCAGATCTGTACTGATTTTCCATGCGGCTCACACCGTTTCAGGTTTATGTGGGGAAACTGGTGAGCTTAGAGCCATTCCAGGACCAGCTAGTCATTGAACCCACTGAGGTTAAAGAGTAAGTGTACAGGTAGTGATAACTTAAATGATCAGTTTGCTATGCTTCCAGCAAACGGCTTAACCCTGAATTCAAACTCTCTTCCCTCCAACGCAGCAAGAATGTGCTCTTGCAATACTCTCTGTCACCTCACCACAAGATGGAGCACAAGTCCTAATCTAAGGTGACATTCCCAGTTATGCAGGTCCTTCTCAAAAAAAATTACATATTGTGATGAAGTTCATTATTTTCTGTAATGTACTGATAAACATTAGACTTTCATATATATTAGATTCATTACACACAACTGAAGTAGTTCAAGCCGTTTATTGTTTCTAATATTGATGATTTTGGCATACAGCTCATGAAAACCCAAAATTCCTATCTCAAAAAATTAGCCTATCATGAAAAGGTTCTCTAAATGAGCTATTAACCTATTCATCTGAATCAACTAATTAACTCTAAACACCTCCAAAAGATTCCTGAGGCTTTTTAAAACTCCCAGCCTGGTTCATTACTCAAAAACGCAATCATGGGTAAGACTGCCAACCTGACTGCTGTCCAGAAGGCCATCATTGACACCCTCAAGCAAGATCTTAAGACACAGAAAGACATTTCTGAACGATTAGGCTGTTCCCAGAGTGCTGTATCAAGGCACCTCAGTGGGAAGTCTGTGAGAAGGAAAAAGTGTGGCAGAAAACGCTGCACAACGAGAAGAGGTGACCAGACCCTGAGGAAGATTGTGGAGAAGGACCGATTCCAGACCTTGGGGGACCTGCGGAAGCAGTGGACTGAGTCTGGAGTAGAAACATTTAGAGCTACCGTGTACAGGCGTGTGCAGGAAATGGGCTGCAGGTGCCGTATTCCCCAGGTCAAGCCACTTTTGAACCAGAAACAGCAGCAGAAGTACCTGACATGAGCTACAGAGTGGTCCAAAGTACTTTTTTCGGATGAAAGCAAATTTTGCATGTCATTCGGAAATCAAGGTGCCAGAGTCTGGAGGAAGACTGGGCAGAGGGAAATACCAAAATGCCTGAAGTCCAGTGTCAAGTACCCACAGCCAGTGATGGTCTGGGGTGCCATGTCAGCTGCTGGTGTTGGTCCACTGTGTTTTATCAAGGGCAGGGTCAATGCAGCTAGCTATCAGGAGACTTTGGAGCACTTCATGCTTCCATCTGCTGAAAAGCTTAATTTCATTTCATTTTTCAGCACGACAGAAAAAGTCAAACAGCTCAAGCAAACAGAAGAGAAGATTGGCAGAAAAGCAAATGAGCTAAGGCACATGTGAACCAATGCTTGTTTTGTCTTGTGAGCTTTATTTTCTTTTACATTTTTCTTCTATCCTGTTAACCGTTTAAGTACCTGGTTAGTCATTTGTTAGAGCAGACTTCACTCTCTAAATCTTAACGGAGTGTGCAGTGTGAAAATGGGGAATACTGGTATACTCAAGTTAAAGTTTGTGGGAATGTTTTGGGGAAAAACAAGGATTACTTCTATTATTTATATGTTAATGACATTGCACTTTCAATTTTTTCAGTAATCTTTCTTGCCCCCATATTATTAAAAGCTGCCAAAAATAGTATTCATAGCTCAAGTTTTTCAAAACAAGGAAAGTGCCATAATATCAACTTTTTAAAATACTTTTTGATACTTAGGCTTATTTGAATAAAATTTGCATTTGCTTCTAGGTCTCTTTTATGAGTGGCCCTCGGACCATTCTAATTGAGGAGCCCTGCCATAGAGAATCTGTGGGATATTGTGAAGTTGAGAGTCGCAAGACCCAGCACTGGATGAGCTTAAAGCTGCTATCGAAGCATCCTGGGCCTCCATAACACCTCAGCAGTGCCACAGGCTGATTGCCTCCATGCCACGTCGCATTGAAGCAGTCATTTCTGCAAAAGGATTCCTGACCAAGTACTGAGTGCATTAGTCGATGACAGGCATAAAAATTCACTATAGAGCGGTGAAGTCGACTAGTGACTAGTTCATACAACCCCTGCTACTGCTCCCCAGAGTGTTCTGCAGCATTATCAGCACGTTCTCTTTGAACTTGATATCAAATTTTCGCCTCCTCTTCGTCTCCGCACGGTTAAAGTTACCCTCGCGGTCTATCACTGGCAAATCAAAAGTGAGACGGATGACACAACCGCCCCCCGTACTTGCTTGTTACCACGTTCCACCCGGCCACAATAAAAAAAACGGCCATTATTCACCTCCGCCGACTCCGACACTGGCCAAAATATGATACCCGGCAGTTAATTAAATACAGGCTAATATTAGAGGATTTACGGTATATTCAATTTTTGTGATTTGTCCCACCATACGCCGTTCAAACTGACTTACGGCGCTGGGATGTTTAGAATTATTGAAAGCTCCACGAACCACGTGACTGCGAGTCGGCAAGTTCAAAGCGTGTTGCAACTGTTTCTTCATATAGCTCTGAGCCAGACGATGCCTGCTCACCACAGCCATGGAATACCTCATCAACGCACACCAACACTGTATTGGAGCAGGCTGAGGTAGACTAGGGGTCTTAGCACACCTCTGTTGTCGCTTGGCTTCCCGGTACTGGAGAATAGGAGGGGGAACTGGCCGTCTTGTTGGGGTCTGGGGTGGTGGGATGCTTTGCTAAGCATTGGGTGGGGGTGCCTGCTCATCATCACCCCAGCAGAAAGACATGAACTGGTGGTGGTTGTACCCCTTGTGCAGCAGTACCGGGACCAGAGTGAATAGGGTGTGTACCCTCCTCTTTCTCCACTCTCAGAGTGGGGATGATGTTGTGAACAGACGATGAGTATGTATTAGTGTTCTTTGGTATATCTGCCTCAAAGCAAGCAGAGAAATGGTTCAGCTCCTCTGCCTCTAAGGCATCACATTCTGCAGCTCTAGCAGCTTTCATTGTCACTAATCTTGTATTTTCTAAATTTCTCTAATTTCTGTTGCTTCTTCTGAACAGCAGGAAGAAATCGCTTTGCTATTAGAAGTGCTCTACTCATAAACTTTGAGCTGAGCATCCAGCCCCCTGCATCCTGTCTACAGGCTAACTTGTGGTCACCACCAGTCCCTGGAGGGGAGAACCTGACTTGTCTTCATCTGAGATCAGCTACCCAAACACAGCTTACATGTCCACTTTTCTTCTTTCTTCAGTCCAAACTTATCAGAAACACCATCTGCATTTGAGAATCAGCAGTGCAGTTGAGATGAAATTCTCAGGAGGAGGAACCAGATAGGTCTAAATTTAGTGGACAATGAATAACTGTCTGTACAGAAAATGGATGTTTTTATTTAAATTACACATAAAATGGTGAAAACAGTCCTTAAACATACTATCTTTCAGACAGATCATCCCCTACAGACACATTTCTATGGTAGCTCTCTTGTCATTACATTTAAATCCGCAATCTAATATAGTAAAACTGCTGCCCACCCCAGCTTTTTTTTCCCTCTGAGAGATGACCTTTGACCTCAGGCTAAACCTGCAGAAGCAGCCACTTATTAGGAGGTTTCTGGCCGTCTGTAATGTTGGGCTACAGTGGGTATAAAGATGCCCTTTGACCCTTCTATGAGGTCCAATATAGACATCAGTCCCCCGTCTGGACCGACAGATACAAGTCCACTGTCTGAGACCAGTTTTTTGCAGTGGTTCAACGGTTAAAAGGAACAGACTTTGATCTAAAAAAGGAAAACATTTCTGATATCAGCCCGATAGCTACAATTAGTTGACTTACATTTTAACTTGAAATTTGCCCCCGAAGTAGCTGCCTGCTTCTGATCCTCCATCCTTCTGAAAATACCGTGGTGTGTTCTGGGAAGTTTTTTTTGTTTTACCAAGGCTAGGCTACAAGACACCTCCTGTGTATCCTTGCTCAGCTAGATAAACAAACAGAACAGACACCTTGATAGAACATAAACATTGGAACATGCCTTGACGATTCCTGATGACGTATCTCGTAGGCAACTGGGGCAGGACCAAGACATCAAGGCGAGGTTCCTTGGCATTGAGAAACACACTCTGTCTGGCCGGTCTTCTGCACATGTTTCAATTGCAAATCAATGTGCACAAAGTCTCTTCTATTTATTGTATTGGAGGGGGCATGCTGGAAAAGCA